AAAAGGAAAAAGGCAAGAGCTGCTGAGGTCAGGCTGGGTTAGCTGCCCCAATGGATGACTCTGCTTAACTGTTTAAAAAAGCCTCTAAAAAAAAGTCCTCTACAGGAGGAGCCAAGAGAACCACATGCCTCATCTACATAAGGATTTTTTCATCTTTTAACCCTTGCTTAACTCTGCTTGAGTGATCATAAAGTCAGACTAAATGAGGCACGTGGTTCTCCCACCTCCTCCTGTAGAGGGCACTTTTTAGAGGCTTTTTTAAACAGTTAAGTACTAAGCAGAATCATCTATTGTGACTCTGGCAGCAACTACCTCAGCCTTTTTCCTTTTACATTTTTCTTTTCATGATGACAGTGGTGAGGCTTTGCCTCCCTTGCCTCCCCTGACTGCACGTCACTGCTGTGCATCTAATATGAAATAAATTATTATAAAACAATAAGGACAACATTATGAAGAAAAAATAAAACTTATTTTAATGCTTCAGTGGGTTGACTAGCTCTTTATAAATTATACATGGTTCAATTTCATCAGAAGAAATTCCATGATTAGATTACTTGAGATTAATAGGCAAAAGTTATTGATCTGATACTACCCCTACCCTAAAACCCAGAAACCAGAGGAAATTGAATTAAATAATCAGTGAATTGTTTCTTGCTGTAAGGATGGTTTTGTCAACTATCAAAGAGCTTGCATGGCATTTTTATGCCCATTAACATCCTCCATGTAGCTAACCATTCTGTCTAAATATGCAGAAATTAAGCAGCATATTATAATTGATAAACAGATTCTCATGATAAAAACTTTATTATTTCTCACCGGAACAGAATGCAATAAGAAACTTTTTTAATGCTGCACCATGCATTTCAGATGTACTTTGATCAAAAATCATAGAAACATTTGTTGTATGTCTTAATTTTTAATCATTTCCCTCTCCCTCCACATTTCATATTTATAGTTTTATAGAACCCGCTCGTCTTCCCCTACTGAGTGTTGCCACATGACCCCATGGAGTAAAAAGGTATTGGAAAAATTCCGAATAAAACCTCTTCATACAATCTGTCCCATTCACTCCCTAATCTTTCTTTGCTACTCTTTTGGTCGACTAACTTTGTTGTCTTTATTTCATACTTTTACCAGTATCTCTTTATTAACTTTTTTTCATCCTCCATACCAATTTGGTGTTAGGTTTAATAGTTGATGAGCAAGTTTCCTTTTGTTGATTAGTTTTAAATGCCTGAACTAAATTTGTATATAGCTTGGGAAAAATAGATGGTGATCTCGGAAAACTACAAGAATGTATCCAATGGTGTTAAAGCTACAGCATGGACCTAGTCAAAGGACTGTTATCACTGCTATTGTTTGCTGAAGAGCAGCCCTGGCAGACCGTCAGAGATTGTAGTCAGGTCATTTCACTCCCTTTGTCCAAAAGACATTGTTATGCAGGGAAGGTATTGGTCACAAAATGCAAGCTAATACAGGCTATAGGGGACTCTTTTTGTGTATGTGTGTGTGCACCAACTTTTTAGCTCAGAGGTTACCTTGGAAACAAAGTCTTTTGTGCTTGTAGTTTATATGAACTATTCATGGCTGCTATGAACAGCACAAAAGCTGGAAAGAAAGAAAATGGCAATGTTTTCCTAACCTAGAGATGGACAGAAATATCTTCTAAGAAGACGGGTCTCTTTTACATTTTTATGTATAATATTGTAGAAGTTAGCACTACAATATTACAGGCATTTCTGGCAAGGTAAGAACGTAGCTTGATATAAATTGGATAAATCACTGTGAAGTGCAGCCTTCAGCATAGATGTTGGGGGTTAAAGAATGATTGTAAGTCTATTTTGTGCCTTCAGCAGGAATGTTGAGCAGCATATTTCTGACAAAAATAAACTAAAGTTAACTTGACTGTGGGTCTTAGTTATAAAAAATAAAAGTATCTAAATACTCTGACAGACTTTAAAAAATGTTAAAATTAAATCTTATCCCTTTAACAAAAACTAAAAGAATGAAATGCTTCCGAATAAGCAAAGGAACAAAATATCAAGTAGTCATCAGAGCTGACATTGAAAATTGAATTTAGGTAATAGACAAACTTCAGGATGGCTTCTTTCAGTCTCTAGAGTATGATGATTGATTAAAAAATATGCACTTTAAAAATGGAAAACGCTGCATTTATCATTCAAGAAACCGTCATTTTTTAGTTCTTTAGCTATTATCTAGATTGTTCTATTGTTTTACTCGCACATAGTAAAGCAACAAAGCACAACAGTCCTTCTTTCTTTCTTTCTTTCTTTCTTTCTTTCTTTCTTTCTTTCTTTCTTTCTTTCTTTCTTTCTTTCTTATTCTACTCTTTGTGGTAGTTGGTATCTTACGTCTTTATCTTTTGTCCCTTGTTTAAATTATTTGTTCTGAATTACAACTGTCTGTTAGATATTCTAAAGATCCTGGTTCAAACTTTACTATTCAATTTTTCTTTTGATGCCCAGTATTTATTATTAGATGGCTGTGTTCACATGACATATTTAATCTGGTGACCAAAACCCCGTTTTCTGATTTAACACTGTATTATGACCCGTAAATTAATCAAATGAACCAGGTTTATATTTCGTAGCAACTACTAACAACAACCCAGATTTAACATTATTCAAGCTCAGGATCTGTGAATGCCATCACCAGATCTTAACTTGACATGGTTAAGTATGTCATATGGACAGAGTGAATGCAACACCTTTGATTGACTTTAAATCCATAGCTCAATATTCCTATGTTTAAATTCTGTTAATTTCAGAGAAACCTTACTTTGAAGTAAAATCAGGTATTTTAAAAATACAAAATATGTATTTCTTTCAAAATATATAGAACATGAGATCAATTCATAAGGCCATGCTAAAGTTCTACTGAAATCAGTGCTGCAGGTTGTCAATCATATGTAAATTGTTCATTTCTAAGTCTACATGCAAACAACATGAAAGAAAGTTTGTCTACGTTTCAAGGAATTTCCTTCCTTTTTTTACTTCCAATTCTTACTATTTTGTTGTTTATGCATGGATGCTAATTTTGATTGTATTTATTTACAGTCCCACCACCCTTCGGAGGAAGAAGATACAGATATCATGTTAGGGCAGAGGCCGAAAAATCCAGTACATAATATACCTTCTACACTGGATAAACAAACAAATTGGAGCAAAGCACTACCCCTCCCAACTCCAGAGGAGAAAATGAAACAAGATGCCCAAGTGATTTCCTCTTGTATTATCCCCATCAACGTCACTGGTACAAATATTTTGTCCTTTTTTTGTTGTGGTTGATTTGAAGCAGTTTTAATCACTTATTTTATTGCAGTAAATATTTCTCTAAATATAGAATTTTACAATTAGCAAATGTATTTATTTATATATTGTATTGGGAAACACCTCCCCTCCCATTTTAGCATACGGTAACTCTGGGCAACTTACAGTCATAAAAGTGTATATATACATATACATTATATACATACATACGCGTGTTTCCCAAAAATTAAAATCTGGTCTTATTTTCTTTTGTGTCCCAAAATAACCACCAGGTCTTATCCACTTACCTTAAGACCACTGCAGCCAGACATCCTATGCTGCAGCAGTCCTTAAGGTAAGCTGGTGCCGGGCACATGGAGCAGCTCCACCCCCCCCCCCCCCGGCCTAGCTTGATTTTTATGCATGTGCCTCGCCTCACCTGATACAACCAGAAGGTGGGATGTAGTGAGTGGGATCTTAACTAGGGCTTATTTTGGGGATAGGTCTTATATTAGTTGCAAACATAAAAAATTAAGATACGGCTTATTTTTCAGGATAGGTTCTATTTTCGGGAAAACATGGCATACATTAAGGCGTAAATAAATTAAAATCAAACATTACAATTTAAGGGCATGTGCTGGGCACTGAATGAGGGAAGTTGGGATCTGTTGTTAATCAACCACTCCATTGTGCTGTTCCCCAAGCCAGCTAGCAGAGCCACGACTTTAGGCCCTTATGAAAGAATAGGAGGGTATATATAAATATAAGATTTCTTTAAAAGTTTTGATAACTTTAACATCTATTAAGATGGGAATGAGCCCCATTAAATTCAATGAGAAAGTCCTCACATTAAATTTCTGTATTGTGATTATGCATGGACATTGATGCTGATATATTTGGATTAGAAAGGCATAGTTGAATTCACCAGCCTTTTACACTATGAGATAATCATGTTTGTTATGTGCTGTAATAAAACAATACAATATTTCTCACCAACAACATATGATATGAGTCATAAGTGCTACAGCAAATTAATAGCATTTTATATTTGCTTCAATACCTTCCATAATGCTCCAAGGCCAAGAGTATAAGAATAATGTTCTAAATTGATGTGTACAATTTATTTTAAAAAATTCCTTCACTTATTAGAAATCTTTCTATTATATATGATACATAAAAAGAGAGAAAGAGACAGGAATTTGCAAAACAATATGAAATCAGAATGAAAATCCATGACTAGTAACATTTCTGAATTAGCTGTATTGGCTCATTGGTTCCTCACCTCATTCCATAGTTTAAACCAAAAATGAATCTATTGTGAACAGTAGACTAATCTATTCATTTAGATCTCAAAAGATTCTCTGTACACAGTATTGCCTCTGAGCAGTCATGAAGGTTTCCGTATCAGTACACAATAAAATAATATTAATGTCAGAGTTAATACACTGTTTAATATATACACTGATAAGAACCAGTGGCATAAAGGTACCTCAGTTGAGCATACCAATGCTTTTTTAAAAAAAAGAGTTTGTGCTTTTCAAGTCATAACCACTAGACCTACGTAAATTTTTTGAAGAGCCACTTTGATTCCCCTGTATCCACTCCTCAAAATATCAAAGCAGCCACTGGAAGCTTGATATACTTTGATATATTTCAAGTACATCACAGTCTTACCAAAGGTCTTTGGGAAATGAAGGATCTCCCTATCACCATCACCCACAATAAATTGTTTGCTTGATGCTGTGAGCAATAACAGATCCACCATTGAATCCCATTAGGGATGTTCCAGTTAAAACACCAATATGGCAGATACATTTCTGGTATCATCATTCAGAAGAGTAGGAGAACTAACAAGAGGTGATTCATAGACATTCCACGTAGATAAGGTGTTCCTATGAATAAAGTTCCCAAGGTAAATTCGCACTTCCATATATTTCAAGAAATCATGCTAAATTACTTTTGGCCAATCCCATCATGCCCACACAGTAAGAAAACCAATCACATCAAAAGCCATATGAATAGATAGTCCCAGTGATGCAGAATTGCAAGATGGCTACATGGGCAGCCAATCCATTGGCCCACTTCAACTTTACAAGTAAGCTTTATCAAGTGTGACATTTGGCTATGCGACAGAAAGTATGGTAATAAATTCCTAAACCAACAAGAAGGAAATCTGTTTTGATGTATCATACAGTATCTGTTCCATTGACTGAAAGCTTGGACTCACTATGACATTTTCTTCTGTAACCAGAAGATGGACCTGATAGACTCACTTACAAAGGAAGCAAACAATAAAATAAAATGCTAAATATGTTAGTATAGGTTTTATACAATTTGTAAAGAATGTTATTATTTATAAGCCAAAATCAACATGGCTTATATTCAATATTAGTAATTGGGTTGAATAATTCCCATTACTGAAGGAAAACTCCTAATAGAGAAATGGCAGTTTCTTTTGACCATGTCCAGAAAACGTTTTGGTTAGGGTAGTATGTGCAGCAAAATCATGTGCAGCTGCTTGAAGGTTGATGAAGTGTGTGCCCATTGAATGCTTTGCCCATGATCAAAATGCCACATTGAATTATCTGCAATGCTTTTATGTATTCTCCTTCAGCGTACCCTTTATAACTACACAATGCATTAAATAAATGTTTTTCTGCTTTGGTACAACTTTATAATGAATCAGGTTTTAGTGGGAATACAACTTAAACTATTATTAACCTACCACCATAATTACTGTGTGCGTCAATACAACAATACATTTATTTTTAATGCATTTTCTATGTCACTGCACAATGGCATTCTCAGTAAATCACAATGTTGTAAAAATGATGATGTAAAATGATGTGTTCAATGATATTGTAATGCAAGCCCCATCATTATGTATTTGTATCATAAGTCATGATACATGTGGATATTTTGTCACTTCTTGCCTCCCAGTCCCCAACAGATAATTCCTAGCACGTTACAGTTAAAAGCAAAAATTGATAACTAATTATAAAACAGTTCAGAATAGACTAAATATAGTATTTTAAAATAGTACTCAGTCCACCTAGTTAGTACTCTTGACAGATACTGACAGTATACATTTTTTATTAAAATGGACGGTGTTTTATTATTTTTTTAACCTTATTTTTCTTCATATAGTGGTCCTTACACCAGATTTTTAGTGTTGAGAGAAGACTATGATGTATTTGTTTAGAAAATAGTCTTGCCAAGTTTATGAACAAATGGAAACAAGACCCTGTTCATATTATTAATGAGAGGAGGAAGCATTCAGTTGAAAATGAATCTCCACTTCAGTGAGACGTCATGGGCTTTGCATTCAGGTGGTTCCATCTTCAGTTTCAACTATCTAAAAACTAAGTAGCAAATAAATCCTGCCTGGAACTTAGAAAACTCTGTCAGTTGAAGACAAAATATTCTGTCAAGGCTGCTTCACTTAATAACCAAAAAAGAAACCACACAAATCCATTTTGCGGAATTAAGAATACTTTTACTGACTATAAGTAAATAGAAGCTAAGCAAAGCTGGATCTGAGCAAAAGCGTGCAAAAGCATTAGATATCAATACATGACCCTTTCCCCTCCCCTTGGTAACCCCAGTCCATAGTCCAATCCAATATCTCCACAGCTGTCAGGTGGGAGACATCTTCAAAAACCCTCATCAGGTTGGTATGCCGGACAGTTGGCCTTGGCGGGAAACTCCCCTCCTTGCCACATGCGCAGTAGATGGTGAGAACAACCCCCAATTAACAGTCCTCCTGTACAGTTTATTTCCCACACCCAAATACCATGCCCCCCTCCCCATTTCAATGGCAGCCGAAAAGCAAGCAGCAAAACAGAGGCTGACATCTGGCCCTCCTCCAGGAAAAAGGACATCATCCCTGCAGAAACGAAAGAACACAGACAAACAGACAAACAACAGAACATAAAAGAAGAGGGAAGGGAAAAAGGAGAAATCAATCGAGGTCAAGGCTTGTCGGGGTAGGTAGAGTAGAATTTACGCAGGAGCCGAGGAGCCCGCACATGGGACTTATCGACCCATTCAGCATGCGAGGGAGGAAAGTGTTTCCATGAAACAAGATACTGAACGCGGTTTCTATGTTTCCTAGAGTCCAAAATTTCTTTAATCTCAAAATGCTGCTCTCCCTCAATCAGAAGAGGGCCGGTGGAGCTGTCAAAGGGCCCCGCAATGGAGAAGTACGTTCCGGCTTCAGAAGATTGACATGAAACACCGGATACACACGGTTGAGATATTTAGGCAACTCCAGATGTACGAACACAGGGTTTATGACTGACAATTGGGAACGGGCCAACATACTTGGGACCCAATTTCTTAGACTTTTGTGAGTCTGGAGAAACTTGGTGGATAAATATATCGATCACCAACTTTATAATCCCTCGGCTTCGTTCTCTTTTTGTCTGCTTGTCTCTTATGTGCCCAATGAGCCGCATCCAGCGCTCGGTATGCCAAGGGCCACATCTCTCAGAGTTGGTCACCCCACTCAGATAGGGACAGCACTTGTGGTTTTTCTCGAGGCACCTTGGGAATAGGCACAAAATCATGTCCGAACACTATTTTGAAGGGGGTAAATCCCGTGCTGCTGTGCACTGAGTTGTTATATGCCACCTCATCATGAGGCAACAATTCCACCCAATTATCCTGCTGGTAATTGATGAAACATTGGAGGTACTGCTCCAGAACAGAATTAGTCCTCTCATAAGCCCCATTAGTCTGAGGGTGGTGGGTGGAGCTTAGGCCCTGGGCGGAGCCTATCAACTTCAAAAACTCCTTCCAAAATAAGGAGGTAAATTGGACCCCTCTATCAGAGATAATGCAGTCCGGCACTCCATGTATACGATATACATGTGTAATGAACAACTTAGCTAAGGATTTAGCGGATGGGATCTTGGAACAAAGAATAAAATGAACCTGTTTGGAAAACAAGTCGGTAACAACCCAAATTACCATATTTCCTCGACTTTCCGGTAATTCAACAATGAAGTCCATAGATATCTCCTTCAATGGTGCCTCAGGATGGACCACCCCTTGGAGCAATCCCTGGGGTTTCCCCAGTGGCTGCTTCGCCGTAGCACATGTGGGGCAGTTGGCTACATAAGATTCAATGTCCTTCTTTAATGGGGGCCACCAAAATTGTCTTTTAATGAGATGCAGGGTTTTTACAAAACCAAAATGCCCAGCCATGTGTGAGTCGTGAGCACGTTGAAGAACCAGGCTCTTAATAGTTGCGGGAACATATAATTTAGCCCCAATCCAAGCCAGACCATCTTTCATGGTGCACTCATCGGTATGTTGGTGAAACCATTCAGCAGTTTCAAGGGCCTCCTTGAGTTTTGCAATGAGGTCCTTTGTGACTTCCAAATTGGAACTGGTCTGGCTTCTGGTGATGACCGGAGCAGCAAGGCTTTTCGTTGGTATGACTGTGTGGATGACACTAAGCGTTGAGCTGTTATATTGAGGAAGTCTGGATAACGCATCAGCCATAAAGTTCTTCCCTCCTGGGATATACTTCAAAGTGAAATTGAATCTATTGAAGTGTTGTGCCCATCTCATTTGTTTGGGGGATAATTTCCGGGGGGTTCTTAATGCCTCTAAATTTTTGTGATCAGTCCACACCACAAAAGGGTGTTTAGCCCCCTCCAAAAAATGACGCCAGGTCATCAAGGCCCACCTGACTGCAAAAGCCTCCTTTTCCTATATAGCCCATCGCCTCTCAGTCTCGGTTAGCTTTCGAGAGGTGTAAGCTCAGGGTTGTAACTTTCCATTAGCATTTGCCTGAAGCAACACCACCCCCACTGCAAGATCACTAGCATCTGCTTGGACCACAAATGATGAATCCATGTCCAGGTGTTTCCTTGACTTTCCGGCAAAAAGTTCTTTTAATTTTTCAAACGCAGCTTGACATTTCATAGTCCAGTTCAAGGGTTTACCTGGTCTAGGTTTGGCCTCCCCCTTTGATTTTAGGAAGTTTGTAATCAGCAGGGAAATTCTGGCAAATGAAGGAATAAATTGACGATAGAAATTAGCAAAACCTAAGAAACTTTGCAACTGTTTGCGCGTGCAGGGGGCTGCCCATTCGGTGACTGCTTGGACCTTTGC